AGGAGTATTTCTCTACTCCCTGCAATGATTCCGAAAGCTCTTGCACACTTCATCAGTATTATTGTAATTCTTTGGCTGCAGGATATTTGGCAGCTGTTGCACCCCACTGGCAAATCCTATTCATACTTCTCTTCCATTCACCATTGCCATTGGAGAATTGATTTCTCTCTCTCTCTTGCTCTAACCTTTCCCAATTCATTTTGGATTGTTCAATGTGAAACATTTTAATTTCATATCATACAGCCATTCAGCTCACAGTCCTTTTTTAACCTGTCACCAGGGTAACAGCATAGCATGCTTTCTTTAGGCAATCAAGTTTTCATATCACATGCTTAATGTTGCATTAAATGTTTGCATTTTGTTTAACCCCCTTAAATACTTTGAACTGCAAATATGTTCTGTAGGGTAATGAAGTCTCTGATTTCAGTGTCAAGTCTTCATAAAAATTGCCTTTATTTAAAATAAAATGTCAGAACATGAATCCAGTTAATGAGAAGATTATTTAGTAAAATCCTGGATGACTGAATAGGCTAAGCATCTGTAGAATGAGAACAAAAGTTTTCCATTGGAAAAACATTCCAGATGCGTATAATCGCTGGACCTGCACAAATTAGAATTACATTTACCTGTATGTGCTCCTAATTACATTAGTGCATATGAATTATTAACACTACAATAACATAACTAAGACATGAAAAAGATTCGCTATACCAGTCATCCTGTGAAATTTGCATATGACGCAGTTGACTAGAGAAACACAACATGAAAAATTTGATATTTTCCCTTTGCTCCAAATATCATGACACTAACTACATACCCCACATCTGTAGTTTTGGTAGATACTGGAAGATGAGAATAAAAGGAGTGAATATAAAATATCTAACTGTAAATAATTAAAAAGTAAAATAAATCAAAATGCACATTGTGTCTCATATTGGTTGCTTTTAAATATGACCCCGTGAACCAAATCCAGCTAGTCTTGCTCAGTTGAGTAAGGCCAACAAGTTTTTTTTTCCCCATTGTCTGGTATTTTTTAAAAAGAATATTTAGATTATAATAAATATTCTTAAAATGAGCAGAGGTATATAACGTGCTTTGATAATTCAGTGTTTTTAAATTACTGCTTAAAGCTTATTTTTCCTTTGGTCAGATTTTTTTTCTCTGTTACATGGGTGTAAATACAGAGTAGCTCCATTGATTTAAACTTAATTCACACCGGTGTTCTGAAGCACAAAATATAGTTTTAAAAAAAACACTTACGTTGTTATGCAATTTTGACATTTTGGAGTAGTAATATTAATGTATACTCCCTTGCCTTTTAAAATCACATACATGCATGATATTATAAAAATGCATTTGCTTTGGTGTCCCATCCTAAATGTTTGAGGTTTTGATATGATACAGCTTTTCTGTCTTGGAGAGTTCATTGCTTATGATAGAGCAGACCCATATCGTTGGCTTTGTAAGGATTTTTTTCTTTTAATGGCATTCAGCTAACCATACTAGGATTTAAGTGCCATTTCTTCTATTAATTTCCAAGCTCTTTCCAGTTTCCTTTTATTCCAAGTTATACTATAACTACCAAATGTTATTACCTGCCAAAAAAGTGGTTTGGCAGGGTTTGTTACTGAATTTTGCCAAAAGGAGCCAAACATATGGGCACAGTTAATTTATTGTTTATTTTAACCTCAAGGGAGCTCTTACGGAGAGTATATTACCTTCTTATCTCATGTATTTTAACAAAAAGAGCTATTGGCTTGAAATTTGATATGCCAATATATATGCTGAACTTCAATACAGTTATGTTCAATTTAGTCTTGATTAAGAGTGTAGAAGACTGAACTGGGACTTTTTTTTTTAAGTTTGTCAGATCACCTCTGTGTAATTTTGTGTGTGTTTAATTGAAAATTAAAGAAGCATTTTTCAGGTGGAAAGAGGTCTTAATCCCTTCCTGATGTGCTTGATAAGGCACTTTCAGGTACATACATTAGAGAAGAATAATCCCAGAAAGGGATCTTTGTTATTGCTTTCTCTGGTTTATGAAGTGCTGTGTTCGCTTCTGTGGCCCTTTTTCAGCAGCATAAGCTAATTCTCACATGGACACAATCAGAATCAGGATAATGTTCCTTAAAAAGCATGTCAGTCTTCCTGCACTTTCTTTTTCTGAGAAGGGGATGTGGCTCCCTCTTTCTTGGCCCAATTCTGGTCTAATGCCATTGTAAATTAGGAGGAACTCTGCTGTGTCAGTAGGGATACCAATGTAAAATTGGTGTAAGTAGGGTCACAGTTATGCCCATTTGTTTGCACCTCATAATATGGACTTGTCTATTTCTGATATGGGAACAGGGTTTGCAAGAATGCATCACTAATCTGGGCCTTTAGTGAGTAAACCACCTCAATAGATGAACATTTATATTTGTTTCATGAAACTCTCTTTGCTCCAGGTAATATGTACACTTTGCTTTGTCACACTCTGGCCTTGGGTTTACTTTTAAAGGAAAACTGTAATTATCAGTTGTAATACCTCAGATGGTTGAGTGAGTGCGTATTTAAATAGAATGTACCGTAAAACAAATTTATTCTGATCTCTAATGGCTTTTCATAAAATCTGAAAGAGCTGAATTTTCTTTCCTAATCTGTTTTGAGACGGCCAGAATGACTGCTCCCTGTTTGATTATTAATGATACTGTATTATATTTCAAGCATTTAACTGTTCAGTGATTTGCTTCGCTTTGTAATTAGATGTAGTGATTTAGTTTATTTAGTGTTAAACTGTAATTTTCTCTTAAGTATTTTACCCTTTCAAAGAATCTAATCTGAGCAAGAGTAGGGCAAGGTCCTGGTTCTGTTGAAATCCATGGGTGTTTTCCTATTGTAATCAGAGGGAGTCATAGTGGGTTCCCTGGTCTTTTGTTCTATATTTGTGCAGTGCCCAGCACAATGGGGTCCTGGTCCAGGAGTAGCGCTCCCAGATGCTACAATAGTAATGTGCTAGCTATTATGGTAGTATTTCTTGATATATTATATACCAGATTTAAAAAACAAAATAAATGAAAACACTAGGGCTGTCGATTAATGGCAGTTAACTCATGCGACTAACTCCAAAAATTAATCGTGTTTAAAAAAATAATTACAATTAATGGCAGTTTTAATCTCACTGTTAAATAATAGAATACCAATTGAAATTTTAAAAATTTTTAGGATATTTTTCTACATTTTCATATCTATTCTGTGTTGTAATTGAAATCAAAGTGTATATTATTTTTATTACAAATATTTGCACTGTAAAAATGATAAACAAAATAAATTAGTATTTTTCAATTCACCTTAAAGAATTACTGCAGTGCAATCTCTTTGTCCTGAAAGTGCAATTTACAAATGTAGATTTTGTTACATAACTGCACTCAAAAACAAAACAATGTAAAACTTTAGAGCCTACAAGTCCACTCTGTCCTACTTCCTGTTTAGCCAATTGCCAAGACAAACGAGTTTGTTTATATTTACGGGAGGTAATGCTGCCCTCTTCTTATTTACATTACCAGAAAGTGAGAATAGGCATTTGCGTGATACTTTTGTAGCCGGCACTGCAAAGTATTTACCTGCCAGATATGCTAAACATTTGTATGACCGTTCATGTTTCAGCCACCATTCCACAGAATGTGCTTCCACGCTGATGCGCTCGTTAAAAAAAGAATGCGTTAATTAAATTTGTTACTGAACTCCTTGCGGGAGAATTGTATGTCCCCTGCTCTGTTTTACCCACATTCTGCCATATATTTCATGTTATAGTAGTCTCAGATGATGACCCAGCACATATTGTTCATTCTAAGAATACTTTTACTGCATATTTCACAAAACGCAAAGAAGGTACCAATGTGAGATTTCTAAAGACAGCTACAGCACTTGATCTAAGTTTTAACAATCTGAAGTGCCTTCCAAAATCTGAGAGGGACAAGGTGTGAAGCATGCTTTCAGATGTCTTAAAAGAGCAACACTCTGATGCAGAAACTACAGAATCCAAGGGGAAAATTGGTGGGTGCAGAGCCCCCACCAGCAGCTCCCCGCCCGGCCCCAGCTCACCTCCACTCCACCTCCGCCTCCTCCCCTGAATGCACCGCCCCACTCTGCTTCTCCGTGCCCCACCCAGCTTCCCATAAATCAGGTGTTCGGCGGGAAACCGGGGAGGACTGAGAAGCTTCCAGCTCAGGCTGAGGGTGGCGGAGGGGAGCTGGGGCGGGGAGCAGTTCCCCTGCTTCCCATTCCCCCCCCCCCCTCCGAGTTACCTGCTGCGGTGCAGGCAGCCCTCCTCGCTCCCCCACCCCACACCTGAGCTCACCTCTGCCTCCCTGGGCCTGAGCGAGAAGCCGCCGCTTGCTTCTCAGCCTGCCCTGGCTTCCCGCGCGAACAGCTGATTCATGGGAAGCCCAGAGGGGGGGGTGCGGACAAGCAGGGCGGGGCGGCGCGTTCAGGGGAGGAGGCAGAGGCGGAGTGGAGGTGAGCTGGGGCCGGGGGTGGGGCGGGGAGCTGCCGGTAGGTGCTCTGCACCCACCAAATTTTCCCCTTGGGTGCTCCAGGGCTGGATCACCCGTGGAGTCAGCGCCTAAGGTGCCACTTTTGGCCGGTTAAATTTAGAAGCCCTTTTAAAACCGGTTGTCCCTCACATAACAACCAGTTCTAAAAGGGCTTCTAAATTTAAAACCGGTTCTAGCGAACTGGTGTGAACCGACTCCAGCACACTACTGGTGACTTCCATAAATTGAGTAGGAGGTACCTCTTGCCTAGGGTGCCCATATCTCCAGGAATCAGTTTTCAGAGCTGGCCTCCCAGTTAGATTGTTAGCTGAGGGTTTGACTGCAGTCCCAGGATATATGGTGTCTGGAGTTCCTACTTTTGCTGTGGGGTTTGACTAAGCAAAACGAGATGCTGCTCTGAAACACTTTGACCCAGCAGTAGGAGTTTCCCCCAGCCCATTCATTTTCTGTGTTTCATCCATCTTGCAGAACAAGGAGCACGTGGTGGAGGTCCTGCGCAGGGCCAAGTTCAAGTTCCCTGGGTACCAGAAGATCCACATATTTACCTTTAGGATTTCAAATACATTGTTGTTTGCAAGTCAACAAAATAGAATGTATGTCACATTTGTGCAACTTCCATTGAATATTTTTACTTTTGAATTACTTACCAAAGTATGGTAAGTTTATTTTTCTCTATTTTGTCATCTCTAGAAGTGAAGTTTGCTAGAAAAAACAATGTTTTTACGTGTAATAGTGACAAAAGTGCATCTAATTGGACCCTGGCATTAAAATTTTCTATGATTGGCACTTACTTCAGTGATTTTTGTGCTTTCATTTCACAGCCAGTTTTTGTGTGCTGCAGAGAAGCATCTTTTTTGAAAATTTAGCCCATATCCAAAACAAAGTGAACAGTAAACATCAAACATATTTATGGTTTATTTCTATTTCATACACTTGGAGTACAGAATGGCAAATTATTCCATAGTTAACCTGCATATTCTGTCTTGAATACACACGGTACATATTTATTTGAGTCAGGTTGCACGGGAGCTTATAAATTAGGGCAACCCTTTTAATGGTTGTCACGGCTGTACCTCTGAAGTTATAATTACAGTATGAAAGAGTTTTTGTTGGCTTGAGATACTTAACCATCTTTAGCTTAGTTGCAACAGCTCATTGAAGAAATAGGAAATCTAAATTAGAGCTATGTTTTATACTTATAAAGGCCCCAAGCATGCATTTGAATCTGCATAGGTGGACTCCTGTACCCACATAATACTCCGTTTAAGTCAGTCAGGTGCTCTCTACCAAGTTGCATAATAAAAAAGTAATAGAATGCAGTCTGCCTGTCTCCCTATCTGGGGATAATAATACTTGCAATTGCCAACCTCACAGGGCTGTTGTGTGTCTATGCAGAACTTTGTAAACTTAAATTGCTGTATCATGGGTAGGTTTTAAATGGTATCTAGAAACTACACGTGTAACAAAGGACTTCATAGAAAAGGACGTAGAAATTAGTGCAGCATATTGGAAATAAGGCAGCCTAGTTCTATAACCCATCACAAACTAAGTAGAATTTGGACTACAGTAAGCTAGTACTTGGATGGGACACATCCAAGAAATAGTTAAGTATTACAAATGTGGTGTTGGTCATTAATTAGGTGTTGCTGAACCATTACCTCAGCATGATATTAGGAAAGGCTGAACTGCAGAGACTGTTCTTGAGATGAGCTGTAAAACAGACCCTGATTACTTGTGGACATGAAATTTCCTATAGACCTTTTCAAAAGACTACGGCTTTGCTAACATCCTGGCAAAATTCCATTAGGTATGTTCTGATTACCTAAATTTCCTCTACAGTTTCAGCTGACTACAGTAGCCTTCTTTACTTCTTGCTCTAGGCTCTGATTTGGAAAAACACTTAAGCACGCTTTTAAAGTTAAGCATGTGCTGAAGTGTTTGGCTGAATTGGAGTCCTATGCTATTGTGAACTGTTGCTGTTTACTTTTGAACAAAGCTACATTCCACCCCTTCTGTGTGTAATTGTCAGTCTCTAAATACGATATATTATTCAGATTAGTTTACTTTTTCCATATTAAATTTGTAAATTACTTTGAGATCCGATTAAGGTAAAAGGCGCCATGTAAGTGCAAGATATTATTAAACATAACAGAACATTAGAGAGACAAGGTGGGTGAAGTAATATCTTTTATTGAATCAGCTTCCGTTGGTGAAAGACACAAGCTTTCAAGCTTACACAGAGCTCTTCTTCTGAAGTTGGCTCAATAAAAGATATTAGATCAGACCATGTGTCTCTCTAATATACGGGAACCAATGCAGCTGCAACAACACTGCAAAGAACAGAACACTTGCAGCATTGGCCATTATGGCCAAGATCTTCCTAAAAGGCAGCCTTAAGTTTGGTTCTCAAATCCATATTTGGGCTCTTAAATAGGTAGCCTGATGATCAAAAGTGCTGAGCAGTGACGCATTCCCACTGCTTTCAACAGTTTGAAGCTTGCGAGTGTTAAGGGTTTTTGAAAATTGGCTATTTATTTGGGTAGCTAAATAAGGACTTATGAGCTTAACTTTAGGCACCTGTTTTTGAAAACTTTGGCCTACCATTAATTTTTATGGGTGACTGATTTCTAGCTGTGACACTGAAACTGTAGTTTTAAAGAAACATGATTGAACGTTATTGTAACTTCCACTAAGTTATAAAAAAAAAAACCAAAAAAACCCCCCTCACTTTGTTCACATGTATAACAGTATTTAATCTTTCTATATATCACTTTGCGCTACCCTGACTGGGTATGAGCCAAAGTCACTATCTCATGAATCTTTGGCCAAGAAGTGAGAGACTTAACAGCACTGCCATACTGACAAAAGGATTGACATGTTGCAACAATGGATGTGGTTTGATTTTAGTTTTAAAGTGATTAGTGGTAACTCAGAGAACAATATGCTAAAATGCTGGCAAATTTCACTATTAAATTAATAGACCAAAGCACACACAGAATGCTTCTAATTGTTTGAAAACTTATCAGGTATTCAAAGTTGTCTTCCATAAATGTAAAGTTGAATGCATATTATAATATCAAGAGATCTTAATACATAGTATTTTACTAAATCTAAAAACTGAGTTTAAACAATAGTCAACACCGGCCCCCAACTATCTATTTTTAATATAGACCGCAAACATGTAGTAATTCTGAAGCACAAGAGTGAAAAATATAATGCAAGCAAAAATGAGTTTGGTATCTTAAAATAAGACCCAAATATCTGCATGACAAAACTACTGCCAGATTAGGCAGAGTTGGCTTTGTCTGCTCAAGCAAGATCAGGGTTTAGGATTAGAGCCCTGCAAACCTTTGGAAATTCACTTTATATCATGGACCATTTTTGTGGATCGGATACAAATTTTGTATCTGTGCAGGGTTCTAATTAGGATAGTTTAGGTGGTACAAATAGGACTGTAATGCACTAAAGATCTGTGCAGGAAAGCCTGTGGCTTAAGTCAGTGTTAGTCCTTCACTTTCATGAGCATTATTACAGTTACTTTTACCATTTTGTATTAAACTATTTTAAAAAATGTTACAGAAAAAGGTATAAAATGCAATGATCTGTGTAATGCAATGCAATGCAGTGTTTTCAAAATAAAATATTTTAATGTACAATAATACATTTGGTAGAAAAAATGGTTAAAATACAATAATTTTGATGGCCAGTGTAGTAATTCTCTTCTTTTTGACTGCACTCTTAGCTGCAATATGTTTCTTAACATGTCAGTACCATTGATTGCTATAAGTACAGTTTATGTGAATAGTCCCTACTCCCACAAGTAGTCCCATTGACTTGGATAGATCTACTCATGTGAGTAATGTTTGCAGGAATGTGCTCATGTGCACTTTAAATTATTTTTGAAATAAATTCCTCTTCTTTGTACTTGGCAAAACATGATCTCACAGTTTTGTATGTCACCTACAAGGACACCACAAACATAAAACGAGGAGCAGCATCTCTTATCCAGTGTTAGGGTTTTTAGTGTTTGATTTTTCCCAGGAGAAGCAGAATACTGAATTTGGGTCCTGACAAGTAATAAGAGGTAATGAGTTTGATATCTTGATTTAAATTTATTTATTTGTAATTTTAAGACTATATTGGCTTTTGACTAATAGTTTAGAGTCACTTCCCTTGTTGATTTAGGACCTGATCCAAAGTCAATGGGAGGCTTTCCAATTATTTCAGTGGGAATTGAACAAAGCCCTTATGATGGTGTAAATCCAGGGGAACTCCACTGAAGTCACTGGTGGCATTCTGGATTTACACGTGTGTAATGACAACAGAATTTGCCCCATAGTATGTTAATATTTTGTATTTATGCAGTTAACCTTCAACGTTTCTTAATCATTTTAGTACTCAATATTCAGCTAGCGTGTCCATCAACTGGCTGACAAAAGGTGTTTGATGTCTTTAAATGTGTATAGTCTTGGTCCAAATTTAATACAAAGCAAATTAAATAGAAATACCATTTTACCAGAACCATTGAGCAGTTCATTCAGGCTATATCTCATAAACTAGCACATTATGAGTAGGATATGTTATTTTTTTCTATGACATACTCAGAACTGTAATATAGGATAATGATATAGTTCAGCGGTGTCCGATAGAAATTTGATGCTAGCCACACTTGTGGGTTTGAATTTTGCTTATTAGCCACTTTATAAAAAAGCCACATGCATTACCCACAATTCAATAGCCTATTAGCCACATGTGGCTAGTGGCGAACGTATTGGACACCGCTGATATAGCTTATTACTCTTGATGAGATGCATATACATATAGTAGAGAGAGACAGAATGTGTTTTTATGTCTGATGTGTGCACGAGTGTATGTGTCTGTATAAAATATATGAAGTTGCTGAATACGATATTCCCAGTTTTTAGGCCTCTGTCAAATAATTTTTAGTTCTTAAAAATATCCTGTGAAAGTGCTGCTTTTATCTTTTCAGTGCAGTGATGAACTTTTATGTTGGAAAGTGTTGAAAATACTCAGATAGTAAAGCTTAGATTTTTGTTTTGTCTGGCAGTACACTTCTGTTTAGAATTCCTTTAATCTATCCATTCCCTGCTTTTATATTCATCTTGATAGCTAACGGTTCTTGGAAGGATTTTTCTTTATATATAAACTTATTAAATTAATAATGCTCAAAAGTGTGAGGTTTTTCTTTATTTGGGGGAGGGACATGATAAGATGGACTCTTCTGTGAGCTGTTAAATTTCTATTTGCCTTTCTTGGGGTTTTTTGGGGGGGGGATTTGGTTTTTTTGAAAATAACAAAAAAAACCCCAACAATTTATATGGTAGATCTAAAGTTTCATTAAAATTGCTTATGCCCTGTCCCAGGCATTTTAAGTGGGCCATCTGTCTAAACATCTCTCTGGTTTTTTCTGATCATTTCCTCGACTTATTCATGAGCCATGGGAGGGCTCCTTTGTAGTCTCCATGTAGCTGGTTCAGTCTACCCCCACTGAATACATCTATGTGCTTGCATAACATATCTTTTCACAGTGCTGGAAATTCTCTGAACTTGGTTCAGATGAATGGCCCACTTTCTGAAGGTCTTTCCCGCCCCCCCTCCCCCCCACCCCCCGTGCAAAGATTTGTATGCAGAAACTGACCTCAGTGGCTACAGAATCCAGCACATTATTCTTGATCATTTTACAGGCCACCTGCTGTGAAAGTTATGATGAAGGATTTCTTAATGATTCTTTGACCATTAACATTGTTTTAAGTCAATATTTCACTTTTATCTAACTGCTGAATAGGTAATTGTACAATTGAAAAACAGCTTTACTGAGTGTCACATAATCTAGTTTTGCAATGCTCATAATCCTTAATAATTGGAGAATTTGTTAGGATAGTTTGGGCTCTGTATTTACCTAAAATTTTATGCAGCAACAATATAAAAAGTAAAGAGCATTTGTAGGATTTTTTAGAACATTATAGCTCACATTTTGAATGGTAAGAAATCTATACTCAATTTCATGACCCTTTAGGAGCTGGTGACATTTATTGTAGCCGATTACATCATTAACAGCAATCGAGAGACAGGAGTTTATTTGCCACGCACTACAGAAAATTGTAGTTTTATTGAGCTCCTACATTCTGATTGGTTGGTGACAATCAAAGTGGACATGCCTGGGGCAGAGCTATTACTTGATTTGCTTTTGTGAAGTCTGTTTTCCTTGGTTGCTTGACTAGAATAGATAAAAGTTTAACTAATATGTGTTTTCCAGGAACACAATAAGTGTGTGTCGATCTAAAATTTCCGCGGTTGGCAGTATCCTTCACTGAAAACGTATTGCAGCGAAGAAAACCAGAAGTATAATTGCTGCTGTTCATATAATGTTAAAAAAACCTTTTATTGGTGGGGGTGGGAAGAGAAAACGTATGTTCAGATAAATTGAGACTAGGTCAGCGTTTACTAAGTTCAGGATGATGTCAGAGTTAAACAGGATGTAAATACTCCAAATTACAAACCATTTCCCCCCATCATATTCTTTAATACTTTAGCAAGAGAAATTTTCATAGAAGTGACTCTAATACTTAGGGCCACATTGTCCCCTTACTCCTGGTATGTGCCCATCTACTGTTTTTCTTAACACTTCAGAAGGGGAGAATTCCAGGTACAGAGGCTCAGAATTACCTTAACAGCATAATACCTGTGTGGCTGGGGGAGACATTGCTGTGGACCGTGTTCACCTCTGCCCTATTCCCTCTTCCTGTTGGTACTGCCTCTGCTTCTCCCATGTCTTTCCCCTGCAGTTCCTCACTCCTCTCCTCCTATGCATGCTCACATAATACTAATCTCAAGGGAGAACAAGATGCAATAGTCTGTGGGGGCCACCCCCCTCTACCCAATAACCACAAGCACATCCCCCCTCTCTGCACTTGTTTCCACCAGCACCCAAAACCAATCATTTCTTTGCTGTTGTACTAGTCCCACAATCCTTTGCCAGTCCCAAAGGATTGTGGGATTTGTTTAAATCCTATCAAAAAAAGCTTATGTGAAACTTTGAGCCCCAGGTGAAAAAAAGGTTGTCCCACACATTTTATAATGGTAAAAGTGTGTGTGTATGGAGGAGGTGGGGGGCCGTGTTTACTTTCAGAAATGCTTTTTGTCTGGTACAAATATATCAAATTTCAACCCAAAATGTAAAAGTTTGTATAGTTATAAACCTCTGAAAATGATCCCTGAGAATGAAAATGCTTGTGTAACTTTATCTAATGGCATTGGTATGTACTTCCCTTATAATAGGTAGACACACAAGTACATGTTAGCAATACCAGTGTGCCAAGTTACAGAAGCATGTGATAAATGCATATTTGATTCTCTGCCTGCTATCTCATTTCCCAGGGCTACCTCTTACATTCCAAACCTCCAAGCAGCTTCAAATAACCATCTTTTTAAAAAACAAACACACAAATCCCCACCCTTTATTTGGGCTAGGAATAATTTGATGGAGTCTTTGCCAGAGCCTTCTGCATGGCTGACCAGGATAAACCACCATTCCTGGGTCAGACCACCATTGCTTCCTCTTTATACAGCTTTGGTCCTGGGCATTCAGCATTGTCCAGTTCATTCAGCTGAGTTGTCTCCTGTACATTCAGGCCTGTTCTCCACTGTCACCAGAATTTCCTTTGACTCTAAGCCTCAGGATAGGGTGTCTCACTCCAGCCATGCCACATGGATCAATTCAGGATGTTTTCTCCATGGTATAGCTTCTAGGTTGGAGGGTGATCCATCTTATCCTGACATACCCTGCCCACTCAGAAGATCACAACAGCCTGGATGTTGAGAAGAAAGCCACCTTCCTGCTCCTCCAGCAGTGAGTATTTTTCAGAGGAACGGCTAGACTCTCAGCGAATGGCCAAAGACCTTGAAGTGTCCAGAGCTCTAGATCAAAGGACTCTGAGGAGTTCTCAGACAGGGGAAAAAAGCCTTGCCAAGGCACAAGAAGAATTATTATTTTCCAGTGCAACCTGACCTCCCAGATGTCATCAAGAAACCTTTTCTTATCCTGGTGGAAAACTTCCCATTTCCAAGGCAGTTTAGAAGCTTTGACTTCCCTTCTAAGTCTGGGAAGCTGTCTTCAAGTTGGACTTAGTAACCATATGAGTATGCAACCTACTGTTCCAAACCCATAGGCACCCAGTTAACAGAGTTGGAAAAGACCCTTTGTAAAAGGATCCTGCAGTTTCAGGAAACAAGAGAATTGCACCTGGCCTGTGGCTGTGCTCATGCGAGTTTGACACCCAGGCATAGCTGGGATAGTAGCCATGCTTTTCAAGAAGGAATAAACTCAATAAAGCTGAGCAAGAAAGGCTGAACAAAAATAGCCTCTGCTGGGAGAGCAACATAGTTTTTTTTTTCTTTGATTGTCAGCAAAGTCAAATTTGTGAGGTCACTCCCAGCCAAATCCAACATGAACAGGACCAAACCAGCAGACTATGCTTAGGGTAAAAAATAATCTGATGCTATGCTGACAATGAAGCTGACCTACTGATATTCTGGGGAGTAGACTTCACCTCTTTTACAAACTGCTAAATCCTATCAGTCGTTGCATCAGGACACCATATAGAATTCAACCAGGCCCCATCAAGAACCCACTAAACGCCTTCTCCTCTCTCTCCTTATCCCAGGAAATGTAGGCAGAGCATCACACTGTTAGCTACCTTGTAACTATCCAGGAAATTTCCTGATTCCAATGTCTGTACTCTCTTCTACGAGCTATCCCGCAGAGATCAGGATAAGCATATCTGGGTGGGATCTAAAATGGCTAAATGATTTTGACGTACAGGAACTTCAAGATGGAGACCCGGAGAAATATTATTGCTAACAATGCTTCATGGAGTTTTTCTCAAATCTATTATTTTGACATTTGCTCCTGTATGCCAGTGGAAGAGGCTTGTCACAGAAACTTGACCATATCATTTTTAGTATGTTAATTACAAGTGTTGTGGGTATAGACAGCATCTCTAGGTAAGATCACGTGGGAATTTTGGAGTGGGTCATACTTGCGAGGGGATGCTTTTGAGCCCAAGGTCAAGAGTTTCAAAAGTGACTAGTGATTTTGAGTAATGTGGCCACCTCAAACGATTGAAGATGCAACTTGTATACTACATCATGCTATCATGTGATCAATGTGCGTATGTAATACGTATGTGTGTTTATAATGAAGAGCATGTATATTTATGAGGAGAACGAGGAAAAAATAGATACCTGTGTAAAATGAATTCCAGTGCTATCCAGGTAAAATTATTATACAAGAATAAAACTCAAAAATTCAGAAGAAAAAAGATATATGGATTATTTATTAAGGTTGTGCCTTTTGGAGCAAAAAATAAGATACGTTTAATTTTTATTTTTTTAAAATGCGAAGCGGGGCACCACATTACACACTTCGGCTTCTCTCAGTGTGGAAATACAAGCAGCTGGATGAGTCTTTACATTTATTGGGCTGTATGTGATCTACAAACCCCTTACTAAATGTAGATGGGGGAGGAGAGTCTCTCCTGCTTACAAGCAAGCAGCTTGATCACAAACCCACGCAGCTGCCACTCATGGAGGCAGGCACACACAGCTGCAACCAATAGAAGAAACAAGGCCTGCTATAAACAGGAGAGTGCAGAGAAGGAATGGGAGGCAGAAAGGCTTGGGATAGCAAGGTCGTGACAGCCCTGCAGCAGGCTGCCTCCAAGAAAACAGCCAGGAGACTGAAAAAGACTGCAAACCCAAAAAGTGAAGGGTTGACAGTCTTAATTGAAGGTGCGGGCCCAGGAATTGACCTGACTGAGAGTAAACTAAGCTGGCTTAGGAGAAGCTGAGGCCCCTCAAGAAACCACACCAAGAGGCAGTGACAGGGGCCTAAGTATATGATGAGCAATAACAGGAGAATACAACAGATGGGGCAACTCAAGTTAACAGTGGGACATTTATAATTAAAGGTTTAAAAAAAAAGTCCTGTGTAGTCTTGTGAAAAGAAGACTGAGTGGGGGGAACTGATAACAGTCTTCAAAGGCACCCGGGGTCCCTTTTCGACCGGGCATTCCGGTTGAAAAGTGGATGCCTGGCAACCCTAGCCGTTATAGAGGATGATAATCTATTGTTCTCCTTGACCACTGAAGGTAGGACAAGAAGTAAAGGACTTAATATGCAGCAAGGAAAATTTAGGTTAGAGATTAGAAAATGTTTCTAACTATTGGTATAGTTAAGCTCTGGAATAGGCTTCCAAAGAAGGTTGTGGTATTCCTGTCAATGGAGGGTTTTAAGAACAGACAAACACCTGTGGGGGATGGTCTAGATTTACTTGGTCTTGCCTCAGCTCAGGAGGCTGCAAAGACTTCCAGCCCTTCCAGCTTTACTATTTCTGTGATTCTATAATTAGCATAGTATGCAGTGGATACAGTGCTTCAGCTGTCTAGAAGTTATCAAGCATTTTGTAAGCATGACAGCAGGGTTGAATTCTAAGGAGAGAGTTAAATGTGGACAATGTAATGGATTTTTACAGGGTGGTCTTGCTATGCATAAGAGGCAGCACGGGAGACCAACTGGCACCTAAAAACATCAATTCAATGAAATTCAGAGCCTCAACCAGCCTGAATTACTATTTATTTATTTGTTTGTTTGTACTAAAATTGTGCCTAGAATCCCAAACAATATTGGAAGCCTATTGCACTTGCTGGTGCTCAGACAATCGTCAGAGTTAGTCTCTCCACAAATTTCTGGTTTAAATTTAAAACACAACCAGTTAATGTAACAAACTATAGGGAAGGCAAGATAAAGGTGACAACTGATGCATAAAAATGTATAGACCTACAAATTACAAATAAATATAGTTTAAAACAAAACAGCTAAAAATTATTTTCTACCTTTTTTTTTTTAAAACCTGCCAAGACTTGAGTTCCAGGGTCTGGTTCCCTTGCTGTATCTTTGACCACTTTGATGTAACATAAAAGATGCAGTTCCCTGGATTGTCTTAAGTTTGTGAGTTCATAGACCAGAGATGGCCAACCTGAGCCTGAGAAGGAGCCAGAATTTACCAATGTACATTGCCAAAGAGACACAGTACTACATCAGCAGCACCCCCACCAACCCCAAACCTCCTGCCTCTTGGCAGCCCTGCCAATCCGCACGTCCCCCTCCTTTCCCGTGCCTCCTGCCTGCCACGATCAGCTGTTTTGCAGTGTACAGGAGGCTCTGGGATGGAGGGGGGAGGAGCAAGGGTGCAACAGGGGAGGGGGCAGGAAGGGGCAGGGGCTTGGGGTAAGGGGTGGAGTGGGGGCAGGGCCTGGGGTTAAGCAGTGGAAAGTTGGCGCCTGTAGCTCCAGCCCTGGAGTCAGCACCTATGCAAGGAGCCACATATTAACTTCTGAAGAGCCGCATGTGGGTCTGGAGCCACAGATTGGCCACCCCTGTCATAAACTATTATGGGAGGAATATAGAACTCTGACCTCAAGTCTTGGCATGTAAAAATCTTCAGTTGAATGTATCTACAGAGATTCGTCAATAATGTATAAAATATGTATATTGTTAAAAATAATGTATGTATATTATTCGTTTGGCTGGATTTGCATGCTTTTGTGTCTAACTGGCCTTTAACTTAGTTTTGTTGTGTGTGATTATGACATGAAGGTGACAGTGAACCACTTTTGCTTTTAAAGAAAAGGAGTGCTTGTGGCACCTTAGCGGCTAACCAATTTATTTGAGCATAAGGTTTTCTTTTTGCGAATACAGACTAACACGGCTGCTGCTCTGAAACTTTTGCTTTTGAAGTTCCAAGTAGTCTTTTTATTTTTTCAAGTGCCACTCCTCTTCCTTCCCCAAACCCTCTCCTCATCTGTTTTTCACAGTTTGCAATATCCCTGCAACCAACGATGGCTGGATTTTGGGATTCTCCTCAAACTTTATCAGTGTACTTCAGTGACACAAGGTGTCAAGGCGAAGCAGAAAATATCTCAAAAGGCTTCTCCCCTAAAAAGTTTTCTCCTTATGTGCCATAATGGACAAAAAATATGATATCTAGTAGTTTTCCCAAACATGCTCCCTGACTGTGTCAGTAGGGTTAATGATATTTAAAATCGTTTATGAAGACCCTATGAAGAAAGTTCATGTGATTAAAAACAGGGAGAACCTAAAAATGCCGTTAAAATATTCTTTTTTCCATTCCTTGCTTTAGAATTTCTCTTGCTAAGCTGGATCTGAACAACTGGGAGCTGTTGGTACAGCTAGGAGATGGAACTTACCCTGTTACAGTTTCAAACAACGGGTCAACATTCTCTGTAAGTTTTGCTCATTTTCTAAGAAATGTGAGGCATTGAGTCAGTTTATATTATTCTTGATTTGTGATCAGTGCACTAGCACAGTTACACATTTGTTTCATCTTCTGCAGGGGGCCTTACTGTAAATTAGAATACCATCCTTCATATGCTAATTAAGTGGTACATTTCCCGTACAGGGATTTATCTACACTCTAAAGTCAATGGGACATTTTTGTATTCTACTTTCTTCTTACATTTGTTTTCTAATTAACAAAATTGTTGTTTAATTCCTTACTTAGAAGTGGACTTTTATGCTGTGCCACAAGAGGTATTTGAGAGCAAGAAATGAAATTGCAATTTAAGATACTGGTAAAAATCAAACAACTAACCAGGAAAAATGCATAATCGGGATGACTGTAGCAAGCTACCATTAAAGCTGAGGGTGCAAGTGCAGTAATTAGCCACAATATGCTGACACTTCATTTTGAGTCTGGAAACCCTTTGCTTCAGATGCACAAATATACAGGATTTAGCTTTTACAAAACTTGCTAAATAATTTCTTTTGTCTTGTGATATTAAAGAGTGAAAGGCATAAAGCATTGCATTATGTTGGAACCATGGATGATGATGAAATAAAATCAAGCTAAATCAGAGGTGGGTTAACTTGGAGAGTTGGGAAGAAAAGTTTGTGGAGGAAAATATTTTTATAATTCTATAGTGCTGATCTTAAAGCTAACCTGAGAGTTTTAAGAAAGGACACAATTTACATGAAGTCTGTCAAAGCTTTAAGGCTGGTATTTTCAAAAGAACTTCAAATTGATGCAGCTCCTTAGAAAATTCCAACTTAAATATGTCATGTCATGAAGACAGCTTTCTCAAGTGGTTTCACTTTTGCTTTGCTTAAAAGTTCTCTTAAAAAAAGGCAAAGATGTAATGATTTTAATTTAAAATTAGTCAGATTTTAGGACATGTGGCTGTTTGTGGCGGCTGAGCAGCTGCAGGGGGGCCCCTGCCAGTGGCTGAGCAGCTTGTGGCTGCTGAGCAGCTCTGGGGTCCCTCTGTCATCACTGCTGGCGGCTGGGCAGCTTAGTGGTCCCTGCTGGTGGCCAGTCAGTTGCAGGGCCTCCCCCGCTACCACCAGCAGCAGCTGGGGAGATGTGTGTGTGTGTGTGGGGGGGGGAGGTTCCTTCCAGCGGCTGCTGAGCAGATCTGGGGTCCCTCTGCCACCACCAGAGGCAGCTGGGAGCTGCGGGGAAGGGACCAGCTGCTCACAGAGGCTGAGCAACTGCAGTGGGGGGCCCCTGCCAGTGGCAGCGGCTGGAGAGCTCAGGGGTCCTCACTGGCAGCGGCGTCTGGTCAGTTGCAGGGGGTCCCACAGCTGCAGGAGGGTCGCCGGCAGAGGCTGGGCTGCTGCAAGGGTCCCCCCTCTACTGACTTCAGCTGATGTTACTGAGCGTGCTCAGTACACCCTAACTAGCACATTCAATCAGATAGCAGTTTTTCACACTACAGGGCAGCTGGTCTGCTGCGGGGGTCCCCAATGTTGCAGAGGGTGCTACAAGTCACGGATTCTGTGACCTCCGTGACATAATCATAGCCTTATTTATTAAGTGAAGAAGAAAGTAGCTTCAAATCCTGACTAGTGCCTGGTTAATGCCCTCCGTTTTTGTGAAAAATTCCATTAACTCCTTAAAGTCCTCAGAGTCTTGTGTATTCCATTGTTCCATAGCTGGGGGAGTCACCCTTGATGTGGAATTGTGCTGCAGGTTCTAAAATTTTGTTTTCACACACATTTTCCCTTGAATAGCTAAGAGTGTTTTTTTTAACCCAGTTAATTAATTTGGTGCAAATTTGTATTGTTTTTGTTTGAGAGTCTTATTTCAGTTTAGTTTCATTGGGTTTAAAAAAAAATAAATTGAGCAAAACCGAAACAAGACAGTTTACATGCAAACTTGCACCAGTTTAAAAATACACTGTTAGTTAAACTGATGTAAGTTTGTGTGGAAAAGGCTTTTAAAACCAGAATTATGTTTCTGCCCCTTGTAGTAATAAAGATAACCTTGAAAACACCAAATTGTTACCTTCTAGAGTCTGCACAAAGCCTGGTAGCTCTGAGAGGTGTGAACTGCCCTGTTCCTCTCAAACATATAAAAACCGAAGAGGACAATTTAAATGCCAGTATTCTTATTTTAGCAGGGAAAAAATGCATGTGCATATCCCACAATCAAAAACTATCTCCCCAGCTGTCCACTAGCCGGTTGCCAAAACCTCCAGCTTCTTCAGTGCCAAAAACAGCAACATATCAAAAAGTGAAAATGTTGTGACAGTCTAAAATAAATGGAATTTAATATCAAAATAAATAACACAGGAGGAGTTGCACTGATTGAATTAACTATGAAAAATAATACAATAAAACCATCAATATTTTAATTTAAGTGAAGCTGCTCCAGAATTCCCAGTCTGTTGCAGCACAATGAACCCTGATTTTAGGTCCAGGTTGTCATGGACTCTTTGGTTCTATGTGCAATTCAAAAGACAGCACGACCATGATAATCAAAGGGTACAGAGTATGGTCTAGGCAAGAATGAGTAACTTAAAAGTAAACTTATTTTCAGTACTTAAACTGTAATTTAAAGGAATTTATTATCGTTTCATGCCACTTTGCCTGAGAGAGAGAGGCTGGGGAGCAGGGCAACAGGAAAGTACTGCTCTGCAGAGTTCCAGCAAGGCAGAACAGGATGGCCCTGGGACTTCCTGCCCTTGTCCCAGTGTCCTAGGCAGCATGCTGCTGCTTTTCCCTCAGGTTGTGTTGCGGTGTCACAGGCCAATATGTAATAAAATGAAATACATAAAGGAGAGAGAGAGAGAGAGAGAAAGAGAGGAGTAACTGGACCCGGTGCAGTCTAGAGGTTCAACAAAATGGACTGAGAGTCGGTAGTCTTCTGGGTTCTAATTCTAGGCTGGCCAATAACTTGCTATGTACCTTGGATAAGATACTTTATTTCTTTGTACGTCAACCAACCTAACTGGAAATTGTATGAGATAGGTGAATCTCACTGATGACCAAAGGCTACAACTGACCTAAACTTTCCTGGGTACAAATATATTAGAAAATAAAACCCAGCCCTGGAGATTGTAAAGCAAAATGACACATCATTCTGTGTTTATAATTTTTTGTCAAATTTCTTCTTATCCTCACCTACCTCATGGTGGTTCATGGGTCACTGTAATAAAAATCAAAACCTTATGAAACATTATTTCAAAAAATTGCAATGAGAAGAAAAAACCTCTTAAAACGTTAAACAAGAAAATCGAAGAAGGGACAGAGAAGTCCTATTCCTGAGAATTGGATATAATGTACTATGGAAAATGCAAAGCCCAACTGCACTGACTTTCTAGTCAGATTTTTCACCTAGAATGTGAGGAAGCAAATTGAAGCCACATGTTGCAGTTTTAGATTTACTCTTCCCTGTTGCACTGACATGATCAGGGATGCTGACTTTGTGGGATGGATGCCCTCATCAGTAGTGGCAGAGGTAGCTGAATAAATTGTTCAGTTGGATAATTCAGTGATCAGTGAATGGATCGTCCTCACAGCACCGTTTGATCCCTGGGTCATCTTTATAGTTTTCTTCTCTTACTGTTATCGTAAGAATAATTAAAAATATTATGCAGTGGCAAGCAACAATAATATTTATTATTCATTTTCTAATTTGTTGAATTTTTTAAACTTGTCTATCTGTGCAGATTACTCAGAACAGCACTCCTTTAGTGCAGCCTGGCCTAAAAACTGAGTGCCATGGCTTCCCAGAACTTACCTGCTCGAGGGCTGACAAGCTTGCAGCGATCACTTCAGGTCTTTAAAATACTACAAAAGTAAAGAAAATTTTCTGCTTCTTGTGCCTACAATAGGGGCTGGAAAATAAATGGATTAAGGTGTTTTACAAACAAATGAAACTCCCTCTCCCCCATTATCCTGCAGCCACTACAATACTTACCCAATTTGTGCAAAATACATTTTAGTTTAATTTTCCAGTATCAGGCATTATCCCTGAGTCAGTTCATCTACATGTACTTTTAATTGTTCAGAAATTTTATACTCAAGTTGGTTTGTTTAAAATCTTGGCAACCTTAATGAGATCTGTTGTCTTGTATAACATGAACTCACTAACTTAACTCATGAAAAAATCAGTGTTTCTGTTTTCTTCATTTTATTGCTTTATCTTTTTGTATTGATTGCCAGAAGAATCTATGAATTGGCTGCTCGTCATACTTTGATCTTTGAAAGACAAAATCTTCATACTCCAGCTCTGTTTTCCTATCAATTATGTATATTTTTCATTATCGATCAAGAAATTATCCTATCATCATGATTACCAACATTAGTTTTTAAAACCTTCCATACACCAGCATAGTGTAATAAAACTAGAGTCTTTTTGTTTATTCAGTTTGGACTCAAATATTTTTCCTTCTGATGTATGGAACAATCTAGGCATGAAGCGTACCAGTCCAAGAAACAATGCAGCTTTGTTGGTGAGGGGTGAAATCCACTCCCCCTGCATCGTAGAGCGGTTGGAAAGACTAAATCCACCCCAAATCCAGATTCACTGGACATGGCTACTGTGTGGTTTCTTTCTACCACTGCAGCTTCTTTTAAGCCGTGGTTTGGAATAGTGTCAGCAGTCCCTCCTAGCCAGTCGCACAGGGTATTTGGGAGGCTAAAGGAGTCATGTAAGGGTGGGTCTGTGGCCTGCCTCTGGACCACCTTTATCGTGGTCTTCAACTCCATTCAGACCTACTGTGAAGACCCTTTTGTTGTGAAACTGCGAATAGGGACTGCCCTATTCAGCCATTTTACTAAGAGACCCTCCGCATAAGTGCTGTGTAGGGCATATGTGATGTGAAGGTCCTTGGGCTGACCCCTTTACGCTGTGCGTGAATGTCATACCTAGTGAGAATCTTTCATATCAGAAATCTTTGTGGAGTGAAATAACTTAGTTAAATTTTATAATAAAAATAAT